TCTTTCTTTCTTTCCTCCTTCCTTCCTTCCTTTCTTTCTTTCTTTCTTTCTTTCTTTCTTTCTTTCTTTCTTTCTTTCTTTCTTTCTTTCTTTCTTTCTTTCTCTCTCTCTCTCTCTCTCTCTCTCTCTCTCTCTCTCTCTTTCTTTCTTTCCTTTCTTTCTTTCTTTCTTTCTTTCCTTTCTCACACATGCATAGCCTCCTCCATTATGAAGAGTCCCACCAGAGAGGTACATTGATTATAAGTGATGAACTTACATTGCCACATCCTTGTCGTCCAAGATTCATAATTTACATTAGGATTCATTCTTGGTGTACATCTTATGGGCTTGCACAAATGTATAATGATGTATCTCCACTGCAATTATCATTTCATTCTCCATATAGGTCTCACACTCTGTTTAGGAAGGGGCATGGCCCTGTTTTTCACTCATAATATTTAACATAAGATATTTTAAAAGTATAACTTACCAAATAACTACTGATTGATTAATGATTAGGGAATAGGGGGTTTTGGGCAATTCCAATTATCTGACAACCAGATATGCAAATTCCATTTTCTAAGACTTTGGTAACAAAAGAAAATACAGTTAACCATAAAATTGACATCATGATCATCCTCCTTTTGTGAAGATACCTTTTTTAATTTTTAAAATTTAAAATTAAAATTTAATTAAAATTAAAATTTAAAATTTTTATTTTTAAAATATTATTTAAAAAAATTTTTGTGGGTACAGAGTAAGTGCATATATTTATGGAGTACATGAGATGTTTTGCTACAGGCATGCAATGTGAAATAAGCACACAATGGAGAATGGGGTATCCCCTCAAGCATTTATCCTTTGAGTTACAAATAATCTAGTTACATTTTAAAAGTTATTTTAAAATATACAATTATTATTGACTATAGTCATCCTATTGTGCTATCAAATAGTAGGTCTTATTCATTCTTTCTATATTTTTTTGGTACCCATTGATCTGAAGACACTTTAAAGTCTGGTATTGTCTCAGAATTATAATTTTAACTATAAAGTCATATATAATAATAGAAATAACAATAATGATCATTGTTATAGCTGACACTGATGAGCATTTAGTGTGAAGGGCTTTATGTAAATTGTCTCTTTTACTGCCCTCAGTAACTCTTGGAAGCAGATAAATTATGATCTACTATTTATAGATGAAGAAGCACATCCAGTGGGATTAAGTAACTTGTCTAGGATCACAGAGCCAGTCCCTGGTAGAGACCTACACAGACATCTGATGCTGAAGCCAGTACTCTTACAAACCTCTTGAATATGAGTTGAGTCATAATTGCCCCGAGTGAACTGAATATGACTTAAAAACTTTTTAAAACAAAATGCCTGGTATTAGATGGGTCATTTGGCACTTTTGTCTTTTTCATAGGAGTAGACTGTAGACTACTCCACCTTTCCAAATGAGAATTTTTTTCTACTACTATAAATTGAAGTGTTGTGTGATAGAAAAGATACAAAACGCTTAGGTATGTTAACTTAGTAAGTAAAACTGTATTTACAAGTTATCTTTCTTATTGTTAGATAACAAAAATACAAGGATTACCTTTTTTTTGTGTGTGTGACAGGGTCTTGCTCTGTCTCCCAGGCTGGAACGCAGTGGCAAGAACATGGCTCACTGCAGCCTTGACCTCCTGGGCCCAAGATATCCTCCCACCTCAGCCTCCTGAGTAGTTGGGACCATAGGTGCATGCCACCACACCTGGCTAATTTTTTAATTCTGAAGAGATGGGGTCTTGCCTTATTGCCCAGGCTGGTCTTGAACTCTTGCAAGACCAAGCAATCTTCTTTCCCCAGCCTCCTGGGTAGCGGGGATTACAGCAACCTTCCCACCTTGACCTCCCAAGGTCTTGGGATTATAGATGTGAGCCACTGTGCTAGGCTGGATTATCTATTTTTTAAAACTTTTTATATAATTTTTGATGTTTATTTATTTATTTATTATACTTTAAGTTCTGGGATACATGTGCAGAATGTGCAGGTTTGTTACGTAGGTATACAGGTGCCATGGTGGTTGGCTGCACCCATCAACCCGTCATCTAGATTTTAAGTCCCGCATGCATTAGGTATTTGTCCTAATGCTCTTCCTTCCCTCGCGCCCCACCCCCTGACAGGCCCCGGTGTTTGATGTTATCTATTCTTAATTCAGATGAATTTATTATATTATTTCGTTGATGAAGTAGTGACAAAGGAAAATGCTTTAAGTTGTGATAATAGGCCAGGTGCAGTGGCTCCTGCCTGTAATCCCAGCACTGTGGGAGGCTGAGGCAGGCAGATTGCCTGAGGTCGGGAGTTCAAGACCAGCCTGACCAGCATGGAGAAACCCTGTCTCTACTAAAAATACAAAATTACCTGGGTGTGGTGGCACATGCCTGTAATCCCAGCTACTTGGGAGGCTGAGGCAGGAGAATCGCTTGAACCTGGGAGGTGGAGGTTGTGGTGAGCCGAGATTGTGCCATTGCACTCCTGGGCAACAAAAGAGAAACTCTGTCTCAAAAAAAAAAAAAAAAAAAAGTTAGGATAATCATAGTATCTATTACATAAGGTTGAAGTGAAGATTAAATAAGAAAATGCATATAAAGGCCTTAGCACAGTATCTTACAGACAACAAATGCCCAATATTATCTTATAGTAGCAGTCAATGACTGTTGGCTTTGACTACTAATATGCCTCTGAATTCAAGAAAAAAACTTTACGAGGAACCCTAGTGCAGGCAGCCTTACTTAAAGTGTACCTAGACTAATTCCTGTGGATTGATGCAAAAACAGGGTAGCGTTAAAGGTGTCCTAAAGGATTTATATCACTCAAATGTCTATAAAATCCAATGGATGGCCATGGTGATGCCAATGACTATGGGGACTTTACACAAGACATCGTTCCAGTTGTGCCTCAGTGTTGCCCTGAACTTGGATCTTTCCAGTGGAAATCAAATTTCTTCAAGTGCCTGGAAAGCATAATGTGTCACACAGATGCCTGTTTACCTGGAAGGTGCTTCCTAGCAGTGACTTAGCCTTCCCAGGAGATATATTTAAGCTGCTCTTAACAGCTGGTATGCTCTTCTGAGGCTTCACCGTAATTACTGAAGTAAATGGCATGCAACATATTTGGCATGTATTTTCCAGATAATGTACATTTCCCTGCCATCCTTATGGAAACCAATTAGTGATGAAACTGAAAAAGGAAATCTAATAATGAGCTTCTTTTTCATTTAGAATGCTTTTAAGCCTCCTGCTACTAACAGCTCCAAAAATATTTTGAGATTTTCAGCTCTTATGTGATTTTTTTTTTCAGTAGCAGAGTCTTGTATGCTTCTTTTTTATTTGAATAAATTTATGGGGTACAGGCATAATTTTATGGTGTTTTGGGTAATTGGGTAATACCATGGATAAATGGCATAGTGATGAAATTAGGGCTTTTAGGGTATCCATCACTCAAATAACATGCATTGTACCCATTAAGTAATTGCTCATCATCCACCACCCACCCTTACCCTTCCGAATCTCCATTGTCTATTATTCCACAATCTACATCCATATGTACACATTATTTAGCTCCCATTTATAAGTGAGAACATGTGCTATTTGTCTTTCTGTGTCTGGCTTGTTCCACGTAGGATAATGGACTCTAGTTCCATTCATGTTGCTGCAGAAGATATAATGCTATTTTTTATGGCTGAATCGTATTCCGTTGTGTATATGTACCACATTTTCTTTATCCAGTTCTCCATTGATGGGCACTTTGGTTGATTCCTTATCTTTGCTATTGTGAATAGAGCAATGATGAACGTGTGAAGGCAAATATCCCTTTGATATACTGATTTCCTTTCAGTTGGGTAGATACCCCAGTAGTGGGATTGCTAGATCAAATGTTAGTTTTATTTTTAGTTCTTTGAGAAATCTCCATACTATTTCCCATAGTGGCTATACTAATTGACATTCCCATCAACAGTGTATAAGAGTTCTCTTTTTTCTGTATCCTTGCCAACATCTGTTATTTTTTGTCTTTTTAACAATAGCCATTCTGGCTGGTGTAAGATGATGTCTCATTTTGGTTTTAAATTGCATTTCTTTGATTATTAATGACGTGGAGCATTCTTTTTTCACATGCCTGTAGGCCATTTGTATGCCTTCTGTTGAAAATTATCTATTCATGTCCTTTGCCCACTTTTAAATAGAATTGTTTTTGTTGTTGTTGAGTTCCTTATAAATTCTGGATATCAGTCCCCTGTTATATATATGATTTTGCAAATATTTTCTCTTATTCTGCAGGTTGACTGTTCACTCTGTTGACTACTTCTTTTGCTGTGCAGAAGCTTTTTAGTTTGATTAAGCTTCTTATAATTAAAATTTTAATACTTTTTTGTGTTTTGGAGAAATGTGCCCTTAAATGAAAAGGGGACAGGCTTTGGGTTCAGATAGAGTCAAGTTCTAATTTGGGCTCTACCATTTACTAATTGCTTATCTCCTTAACTTCTCAGGGACTTAGCTTTCTCATCTGTAAATTGAAAATGACAGTATGTTTTTTACCATAGGAATGATAGTGTTGATGGCACAAGTAATGTGAAGCACCTAGTGTAGTTTCTGAAAGGTAGTCATTAAATAACAGTTATGATTCTATTTCACTTCAGCATGAATTATAGTTCAATTAAAATACTGCTTTGGGTTTACGCCTTTATAAGTTGAACCTTTGAGATACTGCCTGCTTTGGAAAAATTGATTTTACAAATAAATTTTCTTTTTATGCAAATAGTCTTTTGATTTCCATGCATAATTTTATTCTACGTAGTTAACATGTTAAAACTATAAACTTTATAGAGAAATGGCTTTTTCAGATATGCATCTAAACAAAAATTTACCCATACTTCTGTGGTTTAGAGTCATAGCTTAAATAATTATAACTACCTTACGGGTGAAAATTAAAATAAACAATGTATGCAAACATTTTGCTGATACTTGGAACACAGTAAATGCTTAATAAAAGACTGCCATGGTTTATTATAATGGTCGGCAAACTTTTTATATAAAGGGTCAGATAGTAAATATCTTCAGCTTTGTGGGCTGTACCACGTCTGTTGCAGTCGCTCAACTCTGCTGTTTTGGTGTAAGTAGCCATACACAATACATAAATGAATCCATGTAGCTGTTTTCTAATAAAACTGTATTTACCAGATCTGCTGGTAGTTTGTTAACCCTTGACTTGTTATAATAGTTTGGCCTATAAGAAGTCATCTTGAAGTACTAGACAGATCAATCTTACAGAAAATGGGAGGGCTGCTTTACAAATACTGTCCTGTACATACATTCCTCAGAGATTATTGATGTTCAGGATGTGTGAGGTGCCCCTGCAAAAAACGATATAGACATAAGAACAAATAAAACAAATCCATTAACCTGTAAAGGCCTCCTTCAAGTTAAAAAATACTGATTTGTCCTAAGTATATACAAAGATAGTACATTTGATGGCTGGAGCATTGGTGGCTGAATACTATAGAGGTACTACTAATTCCCAAAGATATGTTTAATTTTTTGCTTATTTTAATACGGATTCAATTAGGAAAACCTGAAAATATGAAAAGTTATAAGGAAAGCACCAAAAAAACCCCATTGTAATTTCACTAACCTGAGCTAACAACTTTTAACACATGGATGTGTTTCCTTCTAGTCTATTTTGTTTTTTTTAATGATTCTTTGGAAGCATATTTTACAGACCATGTTTACCTACTCTAAGTATACAACTCAGTGATGTAAATATATAGAGTTGTGCAACCACTTCCAGAATCCACTTTTAGATCTCTGGTCCTTCCTTTTATTCCTGACATAAAATTGACATAAAATAAACTGTACATAATTAAATATACAATTTGAAAAGGTTTAACACATATATGCACACACACACCCCCATACATATATATAAATATGCAATAGTCCCTCATTGTCTGCAGGGAATACCCCTCAATGCATGCCTAAAACCTCATATAGATCTGAACACTATATATACTGTCTTTTTCTATGTATACATACCTATAACAAAGTTTAATTTACAAATTAGTCACAGTAGATTAACAACAAAAATAATAAAATGGAACAATTGCAAGAATATACTATAGTAAAATTTATGTGAATGTGGTCTCTCTCTCAAAATATCTTATTGTACTTTACTCACCCTTCTTGTGGTGATGTGAGATAATAAAATGTCTATGTGATGAGATGAAGGGAGATGAATGACGTAGGCACAGTTGACAGTTGTGGACAGTTGACCTTCTAACGACACTCAGAGGAAGGACCATCTGCTTCTGGCATCCAGTCATGACGACGTCGATGACTGGATGTCAGGAGCAGATGATGTTGATGACTAACGTGTGGGAAGCGTAGACAGCGTCAGGACGCGGGACAAAGGGAGGATTCACATCCCCGGTGGGGACAGAGCTGAACAATGTGAAATTTCACCAGGCTACTCAGAACGGCGTGCAATTTAAAACTTAAGAATTGTTGATTTCTGGAATTTTCCATTTAATATTTTTGGACTGCAGTTGGCTGTGGGTAACTAATACATCAGAAAGTGAAACCAAGAGTAAGTGGGGACTACTACTACCACCATGACCACACACACACACACACCCCCACACACCCACCCGAGTGAAGCCATCACCACAATCAAGATGGCAAACGGATCCAGATCCAACATTGCCAAGAGCGTTCTTGGGCCTGTTTTAAATCTCTCCTTCTGCCTGGCCTCCTCAGTCCCTGGGTAACACTGTTCTGGTTTCTTATTACTATGGGATAGTTCACATTTTCTAGAATTTCATAAATTGAATCATCCAGTGTGTACTCTTTTATGTCTGCTTTCTTTCACTCAACATAATTATTTTGAGATTTCTCCACATTTCAGCAAGTATCGATAGTTCATTTCTTTGTATTGCTAAGTAATATTCCATTGTATGACCATACTACAATTCATTATCCCTTCATCTCTAGACAGATGTTTTCGATGTTTCCAGTTTTTCACTACTACAAATAAGGCTTCTATGAACATTTGTATGGACATATGTTTTTATTTCTTTTGTGATCATACCTGGGCATGGAATGGTTGAATCGTGTGATATGTATATGTTCGACTCCATAAGACACTACTGAAATGTTCTCCAAAGTGGTTGTACCAATTTTACATTCCCACCAGCAGGGTATGACATTCTAGTTTGCATCACATCCTCCAGAACACTTGGTATGGTCTGTCTTTTTAATTTTAACCATTCAAATAGGTGTTTAGTGGTATTTCATTGTGGTTTTAATTTGCACTTTTCTGATGACTAATGATGCTGAATCTCTTTCATGTGCTTATTTTCCATTTATGTATCTTTTTTGGTAAAGTACCTGTTCAGAAATATTTTCTATGATTATTTCCTGCTAGATTTTTTTTTTTCCTTTCTGTGGTTTGTTTCTTGTTTTGAGACAGGGTCTCACTCTGTCATTCAGGCTGGAGTGCAGTGGCATGATCACGGCTCACTGCAGCCTCAAACCCCTGGACTGAAGTGATACTCTCACTTCAGCCTCCCGAGTAGCTGGGACTACAGGTGCATGTCATCACGCTCAGCTAATTTTTGTATTTTTTGTAGAGATGGGTTCTTGCTATGATGCCCAGGCTGGTCCTGAACTGAGCTCAAGCAATCCGCCAGCCTTGGCCTTGCAAAGTGCTGGGATGACAGGTCTCAGCACCCAGCCCAGTCTTTTTTTGAAGGTTTATATAATCATGACCACATTATTAAAAAAATTTTGTATCCTTCATTTTCACTTAAGTTTAAAAATAAATATTTCTTCAAGCTATAAAAACTCTTCATAAACATTAAAATTAATAGCCACACTGTGTCTCAAAATTTAGTTAACAATTACTTTATTATTAATGTTGTTTCTATTGTATACATAATATATTGATAAATGTTACTATGATATATATATGTGTGTGTGTATATATATATGTATATGTGTGTGTGTGTGTGTGTGTATATATATATATATATATATATGGGAATTACTGTCCAAAAGTTGGATCGTATAACTTTGTACCAGCAGTGGATTAGAATAACTCACTGATTTTGTTTCTGCACTGAGTGTTATTTCAGTCTTTGTGAGTTTATTAAATTAGAATTGTGTCTCAGTGTTTGCAGCTTTTTTTCTTTTTCTTTTTCTTTTTTTGAGATGGGATCTTGGTCACCCAGGCTGGATTGCAGTGGCTCAATCATGGCAAACTGCAGCCTAGTCTGCTGGGCTGGAGCCATCTTCCTGCCTCAACCTCCCAAGTAGCTGGGACTACAGGCATGCACCACCACACCTGGCTAATTTAAAATTTTTTTTTGTAGAGAACTAGGTCTCACTATGTTGCCCAGGTTGGTGTCCAACTCCTGAGCTCAAATGGTCTTCCCACCGTGGCCTCCCAAAGTGCTAGGAGTATAAGCATGAGCCACTGTGTCCAGCTGCAGCTTCTATTTCTTTGATAACTTGTGAGGTTAAAGTTTTTCATGAGTTCATTTATGTTTTGGTAAGTCTCGTCCATTTTCTGTTTGTGTTCTAAGGGGATTCATTCTTAACTTTTTATGAAAATTGTTTTGCTCCAAAATATACTTTTAAAAATTTGGCCTAATATTTTTCATGCCTTCCTGATAACCCCCTGTGCTCCTTCTTGAGGATCTGATGAAGTGTATAGACAGTGGTCACTCACAGGTGTTTTTTTTTATTATTATACTTTAAGTTCTAGAGTACATGTGCACAACGTGCAGGTTTGTTACATATAGATACATGTGCCAATCTGATGTTTTAAAGCCACAGCACATTAAACCTGTTCCCCTTCCATGCCCCAGATGCTAATTAAGCATACGTGGCTGCTGCTTATACATTTGTATGTTCCCTTTTAGGGAACACATTATTCTCTAAATAATTTTCAAATTACTTTGAAAATATTTCTAAAGGAAGTTAGTGAATTTCAACCAATTATTTCTCTCTATGGCAGCGAGGAGAAAGCTCTCCAAATCTACTGAAACTCTCTTCCCCTCTCATCTGTGACCTGAGGTGCTCTCTGGATGTTTCAGCAAAGTGATAGAGTATTCCCTGACTGCCATGGCAGCTGTTCTTTTGCTGTCAGGCCTGTGTCAAAATAACGGAATCACTTAAAATAAAAAAATTGCTGCTCAAAATAACTGAGATCAAAGGCCTCTTATCTGCCTGTGCTTGTGAGTGGAAGGAATGAGTTGGAATAATTTTCTTTAAATACAGTGCTCTGGTGCTTTAAAGTACTTTGGCTATTTTTCAGGGAATATGCAAGTTGAAAGAGAGTTGGTATCGCTGTTGCGGTATCGTGGTGGTGCGCGTGGATTGTTCTTCGTATCCTTTTGTTATCTGCAGTGCTGTGTCACCAAACGCATACAAGAGGGTGGCCTCCTATCATTATGCCGCACACCAGGGTTAATAGCCATTTGAGGACTTAGACATGTGCATAAAATGTTTTTCTGTGGCACCATCCTGAGTGCAGTCCCAGACCCTGAAACTGGACCTATATTAAGCTTGTAACCTTAAACTGCTGTGGGCACAGTTCTCAGCAGGGTTCACTGCCGTGTGTGGCAGCTGAGAAAGTGGGTTACACACCAGAGGGAATATGGGGGAGCCATGGGCAATCAGCAATGAGCTGGGGGTGGGGTGTGACTTGGAATTAGAGGGTGATAATTGAGAGACCAAGTTCAAATTTGTCAAAGGGAACAGTAAATCCAGGTCAGTTATAAGGAGACTCTGAGAACCCAGCAAACCCACTTGGAGATGGTGGTGGCCTGTGGAGGGCCTGGAGAAGGCATGAGGCAGGGATCTGTGACTGTAAACCATAGGAACCAACTCTGTAAATCAAGGACTCTATTGGGGTGGGATTGGGGGAGGTATAGATGCTCGCTGTGATAGGGCAGCCCTGAGAGTCTAGCACCAGGAGCCTATGGATGACTCTTCAAGGCTCTGCTGTAAGGACAAAGCTGCAGCTGCTTCTGTTATTTCACCCAAGATTCAAAGTCCATGTCTTCATCCCTTCTCCATTCAATAAAGGCTTATTAGTGCTTACAATCAGCACTGCTTAGGCACTGATAATGCATCAGTGAGAAAAACAGTCCTTGTTCTCAATGAGCTGACATTCCAGTGGGAGAGGCAGATAATGAACAAATATATAAAAGTATGCAGTGCAGTGATATGCACCTTGATGAAAACTGCAGCAGGGTGGGTGACAGCGGGATGGAAGCAGGTGGCAGGTGCCATGTGTAGATGTGTGGAACACTGTGGCTTCTGTAAGGGATAATATTTGGGCAGAGATCTGGAAGAAGTAAGGGAGTGAGTGAGCCGTCGGCATCTGGGGAAAGATCTTCCAGGAAGAAGGGCATCTGAGTGGCCTGGGTTGGTCACCTGTCTTCTGATGAATCATGGATGATGGGGCTTCATGAATGATGGGCTATCAGAACTGTGTGCAATAGGGGTGGCCCCCACCACAGTTGAGGGTGGTCATTCTTCCACTGAATTCTGCCCCCAAACAGAGAGAATGAATGAGAAGGGGAATTGCCACTTCCAAGAGATGGGGACAGCAGGAATGAGGTGGACAGAGAGGCCTTGGACAGTCTCTGGTACTCTGGACTCTCAACTGCATCCCAGTGACTAGTGCAAAAGCAGAGAGGGAAGAGGATGTGGCAGGAAAGATACAAGTGTTCAGGAGACCCAAAGACAAGTGCCCGGACTCCCTGTTCTAGATGCTGGAGCCTGCTCTCAATAGCACAGTGGACGTGACTTGTTCTTCTCCTGTCTTCTGAGAAACAACAGAAAACCATTTCCAAATGCCATTACGTGGTAGGGGAAGCCAGTTCTGTGCTACCATCACTCTCTAGGGCACTCAGAGAAGAGGGGCTGGCAACCTGCACACAGCTGTGTATGCATCGAGGCCCCAAGATGGGAGTAGGGTGCAGGTGGTGGTGGTCACTCTTCTCTGCCTCTCCCTGAGTGTGATCAGTTGCAATTCCCTGAATATACCATTCACTTTCAAATCTGTGGGCCTTTGCCCACGTGTGCTGCTCAGCCTTTAGTGTCCAGGGTCCATGAAGCCTTCTCTGTCCTCTGTCCCCAACTAATTACAACGCATCATTTCTTTCCCACAGTCCACAGCGTATTATTGGTGCTTGTTGCACCTATTCACTGAACCTTGGATCATAGTGAGTTTTACATGTTTCTTTCCTGGAAGAAAATGCATCAGTTTGATTCACCTTTGCAATGACCCCTCCCTGTCCCAGTGCCCTGCATCACAGAGTGCATGGATGAGTGGATGATCTCTGAACTTACATGTGAATCCTTATTCAACCTTTTAGGGCATGAGGCCAGGAAGGAGGTGACTCTGCAGCCCTACATGATGCTGGTTTTGACTGGGTCCCTCAGTTTCCCAGGTCCAGGAAGGCCCATATCTGCCTGGCTGACCACCGTTAGGAACTCCAGAATCATTTCTTCTCCTTCCTTTTTCCTTTCCTTTCTTTTCCTTTCCTTTCCTTTCCTTTCCTTTCCTTTCCTTTCCTTTCCTTTCCTTTCCTTTCCTTTCCTTTCTTTTCTTTTCTTCCCTTTCCTTTCTCCTCCCTCCCTCCTTTTTCTCTTTTCTTTTCTTTTCTCTCTCTCTGTCACCCAGGCTGAAGTGCAGTGGTGCAATTATAGCTTACTGCAGCCTCAACCCCCATCACCCCACAGGCTGGAGGGATCCTTCCACTTCAGCCTCCCAAATAGCTGGGACTAGAGTCATGTGCCACCACACCTGGCTAATTTTTAAACTTTTTGTAGAGACGAAGTCTCACTACGTTGCCCAGGGTGGTCTTCAACTCCTGGACTCAAGTGATCCTCCTGCCTTGACCTCCCAGAGTGCTGGGATTATATGCCAGAATCATTTCTTGTGATTCAGGGGCATAGGTTTCCAAGCAGGTTGAATTATTTCATATAGATTGTAGAGTTCAGAGAGTTGGTCCCCGAGGTTGCAGCTGACTCCATGGAACAACCCAGTTTGAGATAATCCCTGATGCAGCCTTGTTGGGTTTTTGTGATGAAGAGGGAGGAGCGTCTCTGAATTCTGCCAGGAATGGGGTGGCAGCCTTGATAAGTGGTGAAGTAGCTCCCAGAGCATGTTGCAGGGTGCAATTTCTCCCCATCTCTGGAGCAGCCATTGGGAAGGTCAACCCATAGGACCCTCCCCAGGGCCAGGCTGGAGCTGAATAAAGAGCCCTCTGGCTCATCTTAGTGTCAGCAGTTATTCATCAGAGAACTTGGATTAGAACTCACATTTCTCATTACTGGATAATGTGAGAGAGCAAGCATAGGTTCCAGCTAATCCAACATGCCATGTGCTGAGTGAGCTTGAGTCCTGGAGAGAATGAACTCTAAACCTCTCAGGCTACCATCTTTCACCCACTGGACGAGCCCGAGGGGCAGCTGGGGCAGCAGCGACAGAGACCTCTGGGTGAGATATGCCCAGAAGAGGTGTGATGCTGCACCCAGCTTCTCATGAGCAATCACCAAAACTGATCACAAAATAAGCACCGCATAAGAGAAGAGTAAGATAAACACTGTTAAAGGAGATAATGTAAGAAGACTAAAAAGGAAAGAAAAACCATTCAACACTAAAAATAAGGTAAAATTAAGGAATATAACAAAGGTTTAAAGTTCTAAAATCAAGATAATTGCTACAAATAAATTTAGCCTCATACGAACAGCACTAAAAAAGTAGGCAAACTTAAAAGTATGAGAGATAGAAAGTAAGAACACATTCAAAAGAAAAACATGAAAGTTAATTTTTAAAATATAACACCCCAGGAAAATGTTTTAAAAGATAAAATACATTTAAAATGATGTAAGATCAGGTGGGGTGTGGTGGTTCACACCTGTAATCCCAGCACTTTGGGAGGGTGAGGTGGGCAGATCACTTGAGGTCAGAAGTTCAAGAGCAGCCTGGCCAACATGGTGAAACCTCATCTCTAGTAAAAATGCAAAATTAGCTGGGCGTGGTGGCGGGAGCCTGTAATCCCAGCTACTCAGGAGGCTGAGGCAGGAGAATCACTTGAACCCGGGAGGCGGAAGTCGCAGTGAGCCAAGGTTGCACCACTGCACTCCAGCCTGGGTGACAAGAGTGAAACTCCATCTAAAATAAAATAAAATAAAAAAGTAAGATCAAAAGCTAAAAGTGAAAGAGAGATTAGAGTATAATAAAGGTGAAATCTGCAGGAGAAAGTTAAAAATGTGATGGTAAATGGGATTAAAAATAGCAGTTAATGTGCTTTAATGTCAAAAGCAGAAGTGATCATAGAATAAGGGGAAGAGTCATTTAAGAAGAAAATTAAATACAAGTTCTGGTAAGGTCCAGGAGCTTGGGGCAGATCAGTGCAGGAAATACTGTGGGGGGTGGGCAGCGAGGAGGCAGCTAGGAAGCTGTAGCAGGGCCAGGCTTCTTGAGAGTCGCCTCTCGACTGGGGCAGCTGTGAGGTCTGAGGCCAGGGTGAGCTGGGGAGCTGGCTTCCCCTTGTGGAAGGTGGCCTTTTTGGAAGGGTCTGAAAAGATCAGAAACCCTTCCCATCATAAGTGGCTTCTTAACTCCACGAAAGTACACAGCTGAGCTGGGAATGATTTACAATGATACACAATCAATGATTTGTAAATCAATGATTTACAATGATTGTGTATATGTGGGTGGGTGTCGCAATCTTTACGTTGGGATCTGCTTCACTGAAAAAATTTAACTAATTAATTAATTATAAAATAATAAAGACAGAGTCTCACTCTGTTGCCCAGGCTAGTCTTGAACTCGTGGGCTCAAGTGATCCTCCCACTTCGGCCTCCCGAAGTATTGGGATTCCAGGTGTGAGATACCGTGCCCGGCTGGGATCTAGTTCTTTGCAGCACATGCATAATAAAGCTTCAAATAGGTCATACAATCTTCAGAGCAATAATCTCAGCTAGATATTTGTAACAGCATAAAGCTGGCATCCATAGGGGAGTATTCTATGAAGTATGAGATAACCACATCATGAGGCACCATTTAGACACAGCAAATGTTATAGAAGAATACTTACTGACATAGAAAAAGCTTGAGATAGTTACACGAAAAAACAGAACTATAGAACAATAATTACTGTGTAATTCTAACTATTCAAAA